TTCTCACAGACTTTCGGTTACACCAGGTAGCGTTCGTCGCAGACGTCAAAATGATGTTTCGCCAAACCATGATACATCCGGATGACCGTCGGTATCAGCTGATTTTGTGGCGTGAGAGCCCAGATGAGCCGATGGTCACATACGAACTTAACACGGTGACGTATGGACTTAAGCCAAGTCCGTATTTGGCAGTACGTACGCTGCGAGAGTTGGCCGCACAGGAAAGGGTAAGATACCTCGAGCCGCAGCAGTACTGGATCGCGACGTCTACGTGGACGATATCTGCACGGGTGCTGATAGCGTGGAGCAGGCGCTAATTCTACGAGACGAGTTGATCGCGATCATGGGTTCAGGAGGTTACGAGTTGCGGAAATGGTTGTCCAGTTGCCCAGAGCTCCTGGCTGGTTTGCCAGGCGAGTTCCATCAAGACCCGCACCTCTTTGAGAACCCGGACAATCCAAACACGTTGGGCATCCTCGGGGTGCAATATAGGCCAACGCATGACGTATTCACGTACAAGATTGAGCCCGACCTTTTGGAGAAAACTTGGACTAAGCGGTCGGTACTGTCGACAATCGCTAGAACGTTCGATCCTAGCGGATGGATCGCCCCGGTTACGTTCATGGCGAAGTGCTTTTTACAAAGGTTGTGGCTAGCCAACTTAGGATGGGACGACCAACTCTCCGGAGAGTTGTTGAAGGATTGGCTCAAGTTTGTGACCACCTTACCAGGGATTGTGCACATCGCGATACCCCGCAAGTTAGTCCCATCGGTGGGATGTAAGGCTACCCTACATGGGTTTTGTGACGCCTCGGAGCGAGGGTACGCGGCAGCTGTATACCTTCGGACAGCAAGTTCAACGGGAACTGTGCACGTGCGTCTGGTTATGGCCAAAAGTAAGGTGGCACCAGTCAGAACTAGATGGACCATCCCCAAATTGGAATTGGCAGGGGCAGCTCTTCTAGCGCGCTTGCTAAATCATGTAACCTGCAATCTGCGTGGTACCATCAACTTGGATGAAACGGTGTACGCGTGGACTGACAGTCGGATAGTTCTGTGCTGGTTGCAGACGTCGGTACATACACTTGAGGTTTTCGTGGCAAATCGGGTGTCACAGATTACGGGGTCGGAAACTCCGTTAGTGTGGAGGCACGTACCGGGAGAATGGAACCCAGCAGACTGCGCTTCGCGCGGGTGCAGGGCACCTGATTTGGTGAGTCACCCACTGTGGTGGGGACCTCAATGGCTGACTGAGTCGCCGCAGGAATGGCCATTCAACGAGTGCAGGGCGCCGCTTGGGCCACCTGATCGAGGTTTGCGAGTGAACGTGGGGCAACTCGTACCGAAGCCTAACCCAGCTTTCTTGCTGGAACGGTATAGCTCCCTCGACAAGCTTCTTGGGGTGACAGGTTGGATCAAGCGGTTCGTGAACAACTGCAGGAAGCCTCAAGCAGAACGGAACTTTACACCTGTCCTCTCGCCTGCGGAGCGGAATGCGGCTCTATGCTCATTGGTTAGAGTCGTCCAGGCGGAACATTTTGAAGAGGAGGTCAGGCTGCTCAGGGATGGACGTGGAAAGCTGAAGGGAGGAATTGTGCGCCTCAACCCATTCCTGGATGAGCAAGGTATGCTCAGGGTTGGAGGCAGACTTCGAACGCTAGCCTGCCCTTTTCGGCTCGGCATCCACTGTTACTTCCAAAAGGGGACCCTTAGTTGAGCTCTTAGTCAGGGATCGTCATGAGAAAAACTCGCACGCGGGCTGTAATGCGCTATTGGCCATTCTACAGCGCGAGTTCTGGATCTTATCGGGACGACGAACGGTACGTAGCGTTGTGTTTAGGTGCTTGCCTTGTTACCGCTTGAAGGCAGCCACAATGCAGCCACAGATGGGAGATCTTCCACCGGACCGGGTGACGGAGGCCTGGACGTTTGCAGGTGTGGGAACGGATTTTGCAGGCCCTTTCATGGTAAAGGCATCACGCCTACGGAACGCAAAGTCTATCAAGGCGTACTTGTGCGTGTTCGTGTGCCTAGCCACCAAGGCCGTCCACTTGGAGCTCGTGGCCGACCTATCTACGGAGGCCTTTTGGCAGCGCTGGAGAGATTTACGTCGCGACGAGGGCGACCAGCGCTGATCAGGTCGGATTGTGGTACCAACTTTAAGGGTGCTGATCGGTGTATGAAGGAAATTGTAACGTTCTTAAGGGAGAACGAAGAAGCCATCAGCACGGGCCTCTCCGTCAGGGCATTACCTGGGTGTTCGATCCACCAGCGTGCCCTCACTGGGGTGGTATTTTTGAAGCGGTTGTAAAGTCCGCTAAGACGCATTTGTTGCGCGTTGTAGGGTTAACAATTTTGACTTTCGAGGAGCTGGCGACCGTGTTTTGTAAAATTGAGGCTGTACTCAATTCGCGTCCTTTGTGTCCGCTCAGCTCAGACCCAAATGATTTAGAGGCCCTGACGCCAGGGCATTTCTTAATTGGCCGCCCACTTAACGCCTTGCCGGAATATCCCTATACGGAGGTGAATAGCAATCGTTTGTCGCGTTATCAGTTGTTGCAGCAAATGACTCAAAACTTTTGGAAGCGTTGGTCGCTTGAGTACTTGCACATTCTGCAGCAACGCCTTAAGTGGACGGACAGGACTGAACCCCTGCATTGGGGATCTCGTTCTGTTTAAGGATGCCAACCTACCGCCACTGCGTTGGCGCCGGGGGCGCATTCTCAACCTGTTTCCGGGTAGTGATGGCACCCCTCGAGTTGCAGAAGTTCAGGTGGGGGATTCAGTTCTTAAGCGAGCAGTAGCTACATTATCACGCCTGCCATGCATAGAGCGGACCGATGTGTCGGTCCGGGGCGGGTGAATGTTTAGTTTCGTATCAAAAACGGTTTCGTATCTTTTTGAGCGGACGGTGCTGGCAACACTTTTCGGTCCGCCCCGTCTGTCATCTTTACGCTAGCGTTGTTGAAGCGAATTTTAGTTTTAAGTGGTGTAAAATTAAGGTGTTTTGGCGGTTTTCTCGTGTGCTATTTGCCACAAGCCATGGCTTCCCTGTGCGGTGGGGAAGTGAACCAAGTGAATTTTGGTTTCGGCTTTTTGATTGAGGCCAACGTGGTCGCCGGTAACATAACCTCACTTTGAGTCGTCGCTCGCGTCGTGGCTGCCGATAGCTACGTATTTTAATTATAAATGATTGAGGCCAACGGGGCCGATTTCTCATTCGGAGAGAAATCTTTTAGTTATTTTGTGTTAAAAACATTATGTGATGTCGAACTGTGAACTATAGTGCAAATTGGAGGAAAGGAGTTCGAGAACGAGCGGATGTTCCAGCGCTGTGAGTTTAGGTTATTCCCTATTCCTGCGCTCCTAAAATATCCTGAATACCTGATTCCTGTCATACTTAAACTCACAAAGAAACGGCATCATCGTTTGCTCGGTAAGCAATTCGTTGCTGGGCCCTGTTTAAGTAGATTTTGGAAACAAGAATTTCTCGGCCGGAAACTTTCCGGAACAAAATTCTCTCATTAAATTTATTTTATTTAGCTATAGTAAAGAGCACTACGAATCGTAGTCAAATGTTGTTCCGAGGCTGATCGACCATTTAGTTTTAGATTTTAAGATAACTTTAATTTGCTTCCACTGCGCTAAGATCAGCTTCGGAATCAAACAGCGGGAAATAATAATCCATAAAAAAACAGATCCAACTGTCCAAACTTTCGTAAATTGGAAAGCGCCTCTAATATTTTAGCAGATATAATTTGAAAACATGGCTGAAAGGGCTTAGTGCTTTCTCTTCGTATTATACTCATATCCCTTTCCACACGATTTTTTCTTTTAACAAAATATGTTGCACCGACCCCAACTGATTTGGGATAAGGGCAAGCAGATGATGATGATTACATAATACGACTAATATTTATAAGTTTATTCCCTTTTTCTTTTCTCTCTCTATTTCTTGTATGTTTTACGTCCTGTTCATGGTGTTCTCTTTTCGTACATTCTATCTACCGCGAGTATTAAAAAGGGTTAAGCCGAAAGGAGGTCAAGATACTCATGAAATTGAACAGAATAAGAAAAATAAAGCATTTCCCATAGTAAATTAATCACCTGATCGACAATTTTGAATGGGAGGTCCCTTCTTTTATTTATTGATCCATGATCCATGGGGAAAGTCGTTCAGTTTCCTGAGTACCTTGATCTACTTTCGCCTTGTTTTACTCTTTTTGTTACTCTCTGTATGTTTGAAGTGAAACATCTCTCGATTCGCAGGTCCTGATCTAACGTGCGACGACCGTTCGTGCGCGATGTACCGCGCTCTAACCGCCGACGTGGTCACGTCCGTCGTGTACACCTACCCGCGGCTACTGCCACTGCACCGTCTGCCAGAACAAGCTCCCTCGCCGCTCCGAGCGTCGGTCGATAAGATGAACGACCATGGAGTGTATCTGCTCGGTGAGTATAGAGTCATACACCTACCCGCGGCTACTGCCATTGCACCGTCTGCCAGAACAAGCGCCCTCGCCGCTCCGAGCCTCCGTCGATAAGATGAACGACCACGGAGTGTATTTACTCGGTAAGTACGTACGGTTTGGATCACAGAAAGTTAAGAGTCAAAGTCCCAGGCCTTTCGTAATTTGTGTTGTCTCGAGTAACGGGACTATCGGGTCGAGAGTAATGACGTGAAACTAACTGTGCTCAAAGAGATAAGATTTGATTTGCGCGTGTAATATAAAAACTATAGGCCTACTGGATAGAATCCAAAAACACGCTTGCTCAAGGTGTTGTATAAAGAATGCTGCTGCTCATTCCCTGGATTCATCCCTTAGTTGGTTTTTACGACACCCATGGGTAGATATAGGGTGATGCTATTCTAAGCCGGCAGCACACGGCACAGTGTTTTATAATTGTGTTGTAAACAATCTATTGGGATTTTAATGCACTCACAGTGATTGTCCCTTCCAGACGAACATCAAGAGATTAAAAGACGCGCATCGCTCGGTGCATCGATAGCTCAGTGGCAGAGCGGTGGGGCGTTTACCCATGCGGCCCGGTCGATCCGGTTCGATCCCCAGTCGATGCATGTAATTTTTTCAATTTCTTATTTTCATTTATGTGTCGTAATGGTTACAGAGAACGGCGTCCACATGTTGATATGGGTGGGGTCGGCCGCGCCGGCGGAGTGGGTTCGCGACGTGTTTGGCGTTGCCGCGCCGCATCTAGTGGACACGCAGGTAATGTAGCTACTGCTACTTAGCTAGTTGGAACAAGTCACATTGCCGACATTATCCTGGTTCATATAACGGCGTCCACATGTTGATATGGGTGGGGTCGGCCGCGCCGGCGGAGTGGGTTCGCGACGTGTTTGGCGTTGCCGCGCCGCATCTAGTGGACACGCAGGTAATGTAGCTACTGATACTTAGCTAGTTGGAACAAGTCACATTGCCGACATTATCCTGGTTCATATAACGGCGTCCACATGTTGATATGGGTGGGGTCGGCCGCGCCGGCGGAGTGGGTTCGCGACGTGTTTGGCGTCGCCGCGCCGCATCTAGTGGACACGCTGGTAATGCACTGCTACTTATACTTTACCTACAGCACGGCTGTTTTAAATAGGACATATTTCACAGCTGCCGTACATACATACATCTATATCCCTTGCGGGGTAGGCATAGTGTAAAAACGGCCATTTACACCACAGCTGATGCTATGACTGACATAGGATCTATTTTTCTTTGTTGAAATATTGACATGTCTTCTAGTATGTGTTGAACATTTTATCAAATATGGCCTATTCCAACGGCCGTACAGTAGTTGTAACAAGATCACGTTGTCGAGGTTTTCCTGGTTCTACTGAGTAATTTTTCTAAACATTAACAGCCGTAACAGTCCACTGCTAACGGGTATTGCCATACTCACCACGTTTGGCAAGCGGGTTGGCAAACGCAGTGCAAGAACGCAGTGTTGCATTCACAAGGAACACTGGGGTCCATATTCGAATGCATAACATTATCTGTCCTAACGTACTTTTGCATACCTGTTTTAGGCATACTCATCTTTTCGCATAATCTTAATCAAGCATAACTTTTTTGCCATACATTCGTTTGGCATACGATCGATACGCATAAAAGGCAGTAGGAATAAAAGTACAATCGCAATATGACACAATTTTTTATCTGCTAAAATCTGTAAAAAATGTTTAAACAACGCTGCAATTGCCGCGCCGTGCCGCGCAACGCGGTTTCACCTTAATTGTAACAAAAATAGCAATCTTCATATGGTAGGTAAGTATTTGATTGTGTATTTGACACGATTGGCAAGAGGATTGACTAGTGCAGTGCAAGATGTTGCATTTACAGGGAATACGGCTGCCCATCCATCTTGAATGTAATCTTTAACTTGCTTTTTGCGACACCCACGGCTAGTATTGGGGTGATGCATTTCTCAAATGGCATGACACGGCAACTAAATACTATAAAAAAAAACTAAAGTTTGGAAAAAGAATGCGTTATTATTTGCATGTTTATTATACCCTAATTTATTTTTTTGTCAATACTCCACTGAGGAATACGGCAAAGTACCTACCTACATTGTGCCATTCGTGCCCGAGCGTATTTTCTGAATAAGTTTTTACTAATTATCCATTCCATGATTCTTATGAGGTTTTAAGTTTATGACTATAATCGTTATGGTAAACAAAAGTATGGATATTTATTGTTATGCAAATATATCTATTATGCATTAAAAAAATTATGCCAATTTACAATTATGCGAAATGACAACTATGCCGAAAGTGTTATGCGTAATGCGAATAGGAGTAAAAATGTTATGCGTTCGAAGGGGCACCCGGAACACTGCTTCCCATTCCCTAGATAAAGAACATTCTCTTTTTACGACACCTTGAATTCGATGTTCCCTTATAACCATGTAATTTGTTCTTTAGGTGTGCGAGCTGCCAGTGCTAGACAACCCGACGAGCGAAGCGGTCCGCGCGCTGATAGCGGACGCAAGACGCAAACGACACACGGCCATGCGGGTAAGTCTAAGAGAGAGAGCGTTTGTCCACCGCCACGTCAACGAGAACGAGATTTTTTGGGGCCGAGTTTAGTATGAAGTGACGGCGATTGGTGACGGTAGCGACCCTAGGACCCTAGGACCCGGTAGCCTTAGGACAAATGGCCTAAGTAAATGTATGTACCGCTACTTCGGCGCCATCATCTCGTTCTCGGTGACGGCGCGGTGGACAAACGCCCTAACTGTATTAGCATCTAGGTGGTTTTTGAACAAACTTATCAGAAACTTGGCACCTTACGCTGCCGTAGACCTGTACTATACATATAACAAGCAGATGTATCTTTTTTGTAGCCTGTACAGTGTTCCACTGCTGGGCAAAAGCCTCCCTTCTTTCACGCCACTCATCCCGGTTTTAATATGTATTAAATAACAAAAACCCGACTGCGGTAATTTCAAAGTTGTATTTTGCGATTGAAACCCGCTTGAATTGAATTTATAAATTTTTAATATAACCCGTGTCACTCACACTGTTGAGACGAATCTAACGGCACAACACATGTCAAGATACATCCAGCCGTTTGGGCTGTAGCCCGAGAAAACGAATTTCTGAATACATACACACACATAAATACATACTCTCGAAAAACATAACCCTACTGTGGCAGTGAAGAAATTGATAAAAGAACGATTTTTGGTTCACATTCGGAATAACTGACAAAAAATCAGACAGTCTATGGCGCATTAGAACATTGTATTTCGGATAAGTTTTGTTCAAAAACGCCCATTGTATAGTAGTAGCAAGCAATCTATTCGCCAATCCAACCACATTTTCAAAGCAAAACGATATTTAGATAAATATGTTTTTCTTCCGCATGTTTTGTTTTTATCTTGCATGCATGTGATAATTTTTGTACTGTTGTAAATAGTTGTTCACTTAGTTGTTTGATTTTGTGAATTATTGTGTTGAAAGAGGTTTGTATTACGTACTAACTAGACTAAAATTTTAAATCATGATTGGTGTTGATTCATAATTCTCTTATCTAAATTTATTTTTTTTATTTACGCATTTGGCTCGGTGCCTGTCAAAATGTAGAGATGATTAGAGAGATGACCAGACGAAGTATGTGAAATAGCTAAGTACCCTAAATCTCATCCTATGGAAAAATGATCCCAGTTTAATTTCATGAAATTAGAATAACTATGTTTTAGACTGAAGTCATGTGATTATTTTTGTATAATTTTGTCTCCATCGGCCTGATCATTTTCGAAATAGTTATGTTTGAACTGTTCTTTACATGCAAGAGTGGTTCTTTGCATTTTTAAACATTCCATGACGAGTTCCATGACTATATTATTCACTGTTTTTTGCTTGAACTAATTTTAGCTGAGAGATATTATGAAATCGACGCCATCGTAATACCGTCACATAAGCATAACCTTTGGCAGTAGTCTATTCCAAGTCTAGTCTGCACTAGTAACGTACGCAATGCTAACCTCTCTCACCTCAGCTGATGTAGTATATAGCGCATGTACGTTGTTGGCTAGCTGTCGGTAGTGCCGCTGTCGGGCGCGGGCTCCACCGCATTCCGCCGGCTGTTGGTGGAAGACCGCGGGCTCGACGGCACGCCCGCCTACACGGAACAGCTGCTCGAGATACATCGCACCGTGCAGAAGCTAATGTAACATACACACACCTTTTTTTGGGACGAGATAGCGGTCTTGCGTTCAATGATACGTTGCGTCAAGCTTTTCTACACAGCTTAGATAAATGATTGTCTCGTTGCGCTTGGTAGATTGAGTCGGCGTACTTGTAAAAATTGCTTTATGTTATGTTATGATCTCTTGCTCAATTATTTTGCATATTTCAAAGCAATTTTCTAATAAAAGTTGTTCAGATTCGTGAGTCGAACACAACCATAAAATTTTACATAACCTTATATTTATTACAAACAGGATTTTTTACCAGTAGTTTGGTCGTAGTCTTAATAGTTCAGAGTTAAACCTTATAAGACTACTGAATAAAATTATTAGTATTCATAGATTTTTTACCCTCCTATTTCAGGGCAGATTTATTAAATTTCTTTTTGAACACAATTTTACATTGAACGCAAGATCGGTTTATCTCTTTTGATTCTTTTTAAAACTGTGTCGATAACTCTGTCAACAATTATATCTTAGTTTGTTTCTGTTTATATTATACGAGACTATCAAGTAATTATCTTACAATTAAAATGCATAATTGTAAGTTATCGACCAGTACATTTCAGCATCTGAAACAGAGCTTTGCTGGGCTGAGAACATGGATTGTAAATCAGTATCGATTGTTGTTTTTGAGCTTGCTTGTCTTAGCTTTTTTCAGAAAGGGCTTTTGCTTAAAGGTAAGTGAATGAAAAGCATGGTTACGCAGTTTTTGCTATGGTTTTTGTATAGTCAGGTTTGAATGCGTTGGTTTGGCTTGTTTGATAAAATGTTGATTTTTCGGCATTGTGTGGGGGTTTGCATTACATCTTTGAAAAAAATGTGTATCGAGTATTATTGACATGTTACTCTTACCATTTTTCATTTTAAAACCCTTTAGACTCAGGCAGACATAAATTCGAATTTACATGGTATGGCAAACATATTACGATCTGTCGATATTTACGATGTGCTGTGTATTCGAACTTATGTTTCGGAGCTTTAAACCCTTAGCTTCGCAATGTTGTACTTACATATGCATCACACTAATTGATGAAGATTTTATCAAATAGTTTTATCGTGCATTCAGATACGAGTTTGAAAAATTTTAATTTGCGCATCTAAGGGTTAAGTTCAGAAGAACTTTCAGTTTCTATAATGATTAATTCCCAGACAAATCTGAACTTGCACATATCGACTGTTGCATGAAGGTTCCTTGTTAAAAGTTGTAATACCGGGAGTAACAAAAAGGGTATAACGAGCCGAAAGGAGGTCAAGGTACTCATGAAACTGAACAACTTTCCATGGAACATGGGTCGAAATATGAAAAAAAAATTGGACCTCCCATACAAAATCGCCAATCAGCTAATTTATTTACTATGGGAGGCCCTA